TGTACTCTTTATAGTGTTTTTTTTTTCTTTCTTTCTTTCTTTTTCTTCTTTTTTGCTGCTCCCGCCCATTCCTTTGTTTATCAGCCTCTGTTTCTCGCTGTGTGCTTGCTTTTTTGTCTTCTTTTCTTTCATTTTTTCTTCCTTTCCCTTCTCCTTTTCCTTTCTTTCCCTTCACCTCTCCCTCCCTTTCTCATCCCTCCTTCCCCTTCCCCTTTCCTTCACTTTCCCTTTCCCACCCCTCCTTCTTCCTCTCCTTTCCTCTCTTCCCTCCCCCCTCCCTTCCCTCCCTTCCCTCCCCCTCCCTCTCCTCCCCTTCCCCTTCTCCTTCCCCACCCCACCCCACCCCTCCGTTCTCCCTCTGAGGGCGAGAGTATAGATGGTGGAGCAACTATCTATCGATTGTGAAGTGTACGGTGTCAGGTGTATGGCGACCCCGTCCTCTGGTCCCCTTCCATGGTGTTTCCCCCGTGCGTCGTGGGTCGTGTTACATGGGGGTTGTTTTCGCTCCCTGTCTTACCTCTCTTCCCTCCCTTCCCTCCCTTTCCTTTTTCCCTTACCTCTCCCCCCCATCCCCATTCCTCTCTTTGTAAGATGATCAGCTGTCTCTGTCTGTCCCTGTTATTCATCTGTTCGTCTGTTTCATCTTGGGTTTTTTCTTTGTTTTCTCTCCTTTTCCCTGCTTTGTCCCTCCTCTGTCTTAGCATCTTTTATCACTCCGTCTGTTGGTTCATCTTGGGTTTATCTTATTCTTTTTTTTTTTTTTTTGGTTTATTTTTTCTTTGTTTCCCTCCTTCCGTCCTTCCTCTGTCTTAGTATCTTCTTTATCCCCACTCCGTCCTTCCAATCTGTGCGTCCATCTCGGGTTTATCTTATTTTTTTTTTCTTTTTTTTTTTATTTTGTCCCTACTTCTGTCCCTCCTCTATTCTAGCTGCTTCTTTATTCTTTTTCTTGTTTTTTCTATTTTCTTTTGTTTCCCTCCTTCTGTCCTTCCTCTGTCTTAGTATCTTCTTTATCACTCCGTCTTGTTGGTTTCATCTTGGGCTTATCTTCTATATTCTTTTTTTTTTTTTGGTTTCTTTTTCTTTGTTTCCCTCCTTCCGTCCTTCCTCTGTCTTAGTATCTTCTTTTATCATCCGTCCTTCCAATCTGTTCGTTCCATTTTTTTTATTGTTTTTTTTTTCTTTGTTTCCTACTTTCTGTTCCTCCTCTTTTCTAGCTTCTTCTTATTCTTTTTCTTGTTTTTTTCTTTTTCTTGTTTTCCCTCCTCCTGTCCCTCCTCTATTCTAGCTTCTTATTCTTTTTCTTGTTTTTTTCTTTTTCTTTGTTTCCCTACTTCTGTCCCTCCTCTATTCTAGCTTCTTCTTATTCCTTTTCTTGTTTTTTTTCTTTTCTTTGTTTCCCTCCTCCTGTCCCTCCTCATTGTAGCTTCTTAAATATCGTTTTTTTTTTTCTTGTTTTCCCTACTTCTGTTTCCTCTATTCTAGCTTCTTCTTATTCTTTTTCTTGTTTTTTTTCTTTGTTTCCCTCCTTCTGTCCTTCCATCCTATCATCTTTATCACTCCGTCCTTCCATGCCCTGTTCTCTCCTCCCTCTTGCATTGGTCCTCATTCTCGTTTTCCTTCCCGGCTGGTCTAGGTCGTCATATTTTTCGTTTTTTTTTATTGATTTATCCTCCTTTGTGGACATTTGTTCCATGTTTTTTTTTTCATCTTTTTCCCCACTTCCCCTTCTCTCTTTTGTCTCTTCTCTTTATTTCCTTCTTTGTATCTTCTTTTTTTCTCCCACATGTCCCCTCTTCCTGTACTTGTCTTCTCTCTCTTTCCCCATTTCCCCTTCCCCTCCTTTCGTCCTCCCCCCCCCCTTTCCACGTTCTCCCTCCCCCCCTTCTTTCTCGCCCTCCCCCCCTTTCCCTCCTTTCTCGCCCTCACCCACCCCTTCCCTCAGCCTCCCCCTTCCCTCCCCTCACGCCCTTCCCCCTTCCCTCCCTCACGCCCTTCCCCCTTCCCCCCTCGCCCTCTCTTCCTGCACGGCTCATGTCGAAAGGGATGTCCCCCCCCCTCTCATCTCCGGCGCGGCTAAAGGAACGTTGAGCCTCCCCGGGCGAAGGCAGCTCCAGGACGCCGCTTTCAGGATGCTGCAGCTTCCAGGTCCTTGTGGCGTGATGGAGGGCTTCCGTTTGGAGGGAAGGTGGAGTGGTGGGGGTGGGTTGGGAGTGGCGGGGATGTGGGGTGCGGAATATGTGTTTGTATTTATCTTCTTGTCTAGCCTCTTCTCTCTCTCTTCATTTTCTTTCTCCCCTTTCTCTCTCTCTTCTCTCTCTCTCCTCTCTCTTCTTCTCTCTCTCTCTCTCCTCTCTCTCTCTCTCTCTCTCTCTCTCTCTCTCTCTCTCTCCCCTATCTCCCTATCTCCCTCCCTCCCTCCCTCCTCCCTCCTCCCTCCCTCCCTCCTCCTTCCCTCCCTCCCTCCCTTCCCCCTTCTCTCATCTACAACCCATCTCCCCCCCTCACCCCCCCCCCTCCGTGATTTCGCTCGGCATCGCATGAGGCTTTGATTTCAGGAGTTGCCAGAGATTTTTTTATTTATTTTTTTTTTTTTAATGGGATTTATTTTTTTAAACGGGGCGGCAGTGATATTGAGGCGTTTCGGTGTTTTACAGCGGCCTGGCGTTCCGTTTGCTCGTGTAGTTTTTGTTTGTTTGTTGTTTTTTCTGTTTTTGATTGTATGTTTAAATTCCGTTTTGGGTCGTGTTAGTTTGGGNCCCCACCTGCCCCCTCCCGTCCTGTCAGCCATTACACAGAATTCTCGACTTTGCGTTCCTGATCTTCTTCCTCTTTCTCTCTTGTTTATTTCTTCGTTGTCGTTATCAAGTAAGTCTGTGAAGCTTCCTTTATTTTTTCCCTCAGTGTCTGTTAATGAAAGGAGAAGAAAAGTGAACGAAATAGATTGTTTAGATACGTTTTCCGGAGTCCAGTCTCTACCACACCCGTCTTCCTCCCCGGCCGCCATATTGGATTTCAAAGTGTTTCTTTGTCTGGTTACGTTTTCATACTTCTTGGGCTTATAATCCCTTTTGATCTCGGATGAAACGAGTGGAATCAGAGCGTAAATGGAGGTGAGAAAAGAAAATACACGAATCCCATTTTGGACACCGTGCTATTCTTCGGCAGAGGCGCTGGTGAAGAAATGTTTCGATGGAAAATGAAAAGGTTAAAGAAAGGTTAAAAAAAAGACGATTTTAATGGTAATCAACTAATGCATTATTAACCTCGGACAACGTGGCATATGGATCATGAAAAGTGGAGAAAAATCGATGAGCCGGTAAGGTCTCATGGCGGTGCATGGCGGTTATGACGTCACGTAACCGGCGCGCGAGACTTTCCATCTCTCGTTCTTGTAAAAACGAAAACAAAACTGCATGACAAGCTTTTCTCCAAGTGACATTCGACCATTTTCCCGTCTCATAATACCAGATTCATTAGCATAGATCCAATCCTTCATAAAAAATAGAGAAAAGAGGAAAAAACAAATGAAGGTTAGGAGGCGTAGCAGTTCCCGGCGGTCCAGCTGGCGAAGAAAACAGACAAAATGGCGGACGAAGGTGGAAGCGCTAGTCATGAAGACCTAGATTCGCCAGGCGCATGACAGAGGCGGAGACAGAGAAAGACCAGAAACGCATACAGAAAATATATCTTTTATCGTGACATTTGCAGTTGATATAAACAATTCTTCGTCTTCTTTTAAATCTATTTTCCGTTTTTGTTTTTCTCTGTGTGATCAATGGCGTTCACAACCCTAGAGTTTTTGAACAAATATAAAAGTGAATATTCTTTTAAGAAAGAGAAATACCATGATAGATAAACTGATGATATTCCCCGACTGGAATGTTCGAGAAGCAGATAAATAACGAATTAATTTCCATGTGTCAAAAAGTATTCCTAAATCCACGCTGTAATTTCATCCATCCGAAAAAATACTGTTCAGATTCCGTTCAAAGTTCACGAGTTGGATTTTTAATAGTTTGTGTTCACCGTAGAACTATTGCCTCACCATAACGGTTCTTTATGATATGCTTTGTTCACCTGGTGTTCAGTGGATGTCTTTTCTGTTCAATCGGTAGAAAAATGTTCATCCAGTGTTCAGTGAGAAATGTTATTCTCTAACAACAATCAATAAGGATAACCTTCTGTTCAATGTTCAACGAGGTACAATCTCCTCATTCCCTGTTCATCAGGTGTTCAATCATTCAGTTTTGTAAATAAACCTGCCTCGCCCATTGAACACTATTCCTGTTCAATTGCCATTTGTTCACCGTCGTCCACCGTTTGTTCATCTGTTCACCGTGATCGCTACTAGAAAGTGACACGAAATACAGTATTGTTTTATTTTTTGTTCATGAATTAACAATGGCCGGTTTGGTTCTACTCGGATACTGGGGAGTCTGTTATCATTATTATCATTTTTCCTATGTCATTGTTTTATCTCCTAGTTGTCTTTTCTCTCATTTATCGCCGTTAATATTTAATCTTTTCATTATTATCATTTTTTCCTATGTCATTGTTTTATCTCCTTGTTGCTCTTTTATCACCGTTAATATTTAATCTTTTCTTTATTATCATTCTTCCCATGTTATTGTTTTATCCCCTTGTTGCCTTTTATCACCGTTAATGTTTTGTCTTTTCTCTATTATCATTTTTCCTGTCAGTGTTTTATCTCCGTGTTGCCTTTTATTGCCGTTAATATTTAATATTCTTATTATCATGTTTCCTATGTCACTGTTTTATCTCCGTGTTGCTCTTTTATCATCGTTAATATTTAATCTTCTCCTTATTATCATTTCTCCTATGTCATTGTTTTATCTCTCGTTGCCTTTTATGACCTTTTATTTTATAATATTTAATCTTCTCCTTATCCTATCCTCCTCCTTATCTTACCATCCCTCATTCGTGGGGACACCTATTAGTAATTAATTAAATTTCCTTCCAGTGCAGTAAATAAATTAATCCCAGTATTCAGTGTAATATCAGTATAATACAAGTAATATATATAAAGAACAAAGGCGTTCGTTTTGTATGAACACAATAACTAATAAAAGGTCGTTTTGAAATTACAGATGAAAATAGAGTTTATAACATAATTCTACTGAAACAAAGAAACTTATCTGTGTTTGAATTTTAACTCAAAACGGAGATTCTTGTACCTAACTCCACTGGAAAATCAACTCTAGAAGCATAACTAAGAACAGAGACTCATATAACTGAACGGAACCGAAAAATAAAACAGATTTCGCAAGCATAACTAAGAACAGAGACTCATATAACAACGAAACAGAAAAAATTAAACTAATTTCGCATACGAATCATAACTGAAAACAAGAGACACTTATAACTAAAATCGACTGAAAGGAAAAAGAAAAAAAAAATCAGTGTAATGGTCCCTCGTGTCGGCCATGGTTATCAAGTCTAAGCTCCCACTCCAAGACTGCTTTCGACCCACGCCCTCGCCAACGCCCTCGTCCTCCTCGAGTTCCCACGCCCCTGGAACGCCCAACCCGGTGCAGACGACGGTGAAGTGGGCGGCTAAGAGGACGCTACAGCAGGGTAAGTCCTTGATTTTATTTATTTATTTTTTTTGTGTGTGTGTGTGTGTTTAATGTTTTATTTACGTTATCAGTTCTGTGTGACAAGGTTCGTGATAAGATATATATGATGTGTGAGATTTGGTGATTTAAGTCGGGGGATAAAACGATAAGCAACTGGTATATATATATCTTCTGACAATTAAAAAGATGATTGAATTAAAAAAAGGTAAATTAATAATCGAAATTTGAAGTGATACTATACGCTCAGGAAATCGATTTTTAAAAATATTTCATCTCATATTATGGAAGAGGAAACAATTTTGACATTTCTCTGACCATCTGTGAAACTCTAAGGACATACTTTGCAGTTTTCATTTACTATAAAAGCATTAAATACTATGACCGGTTTATGCAAGATATATTCATCTATAGTTTACACAAAACAAGAACAAGACAGTGTGATATTATGACTGCAAGAATTAGGATTATACATAGACAGTATTGGAAAACCAGTACAGCTTATAATATCTAAGAAAATAAGTGTAATGTAATGAAGAATATTAGCGAAAACTTGTACATTATATCTTAGAGTGTCATGTAATACAGTTTTTTCAGACCACCTAGCATGAGGGACGGAGAACTACGTAACTATTTCGTGTCATGTCTTGAAAAAATAGGCTATATGTTGCAGCCTAAATTTGGAATGGAGTATCACGTGACCACATAACACATGTTGCAATGCCTTTCCACGCCCAAGCTGTATGCCGGCTTGATGGATGAGTAGATAAAAGGCTGTGTAATTGTTATTTTCTTTCGAATAATATGATATAAATCATAATAATGTTATAGCCTAAATTTCTAACGTAAAACTGTTATATAATACTATGACCATAGCATTGTGCAGTAAGTCAGGGTAATATATAAAGAACAAAATTTTAAAATCTAATCTTGAATACGAATCATTATAATTCAAAATTGAAAACACACACACACACACACACACATACACACACACACAC